TTCTTTCAGCTGTGCACGCGGCTCCAAAGAGGCTCACGGATGCGATTAAGCGAGCGTTCTTCCATTGAAACGCACGTGCGATAGAACTTTGCTGAAGCGAGTCATGGCGTTTCTTATCGATGAATTAAACGTGAGATAGTAATTCGTATCGCGAGCCGCGATGTGCGGCGGACGCCGGTGGCCGGAATCCTCCGACAATCGCGCGTTGAACTCCCGGCCGGTCGCAGAATTCTAATCGACCGCTTTCCCCGCGTCGTACATCGAGACGACGAGACAATGGAATCGCCGGTCTTGGCACAAGCGACGTGAAACGTCTTGGCAAAGAAACCACAAGGAGCAGGATGAAGAACGACGGGTGGGTGGGGGTGGACGGGAAGAGAAGTTGGCGGAGACGAGTCCCAACGGACGACGAAGATCTCGGCGACGAGGGGAAAGGGACCGGATGGGATCTCGAAAGACGCAAGTCTCAGGACTCGCTGCCGAAGGGAACCGTACGCGACATTCTGCTCGTCCTTCTTTACGTCCTTCTCTCCCAGGGGTTCTCCCCCCCGCGCACCTCTCTCGCTTCCCGTCAGCATGGTAGCCCGTTTCTTTCCTCGGCAACGGCAACTTTTTATCAGCTGCGGGACTCACATACTTCCTGCCCGATGTCGGGCTGAAATTCCACGCGATAGTCGTCACAATATGCAGCAAGAAGCTAATCGAGCCAGAAAGAGGAGCTCCCGGAGGGTCTCCCGCGGGAAAGAAGGGACTCTCCACGGGGTGTCAACGAGACGTTTCAGCCTTTCCCGGCTGTTTTTGCGCTAATGAAAAGCATGCGGTACCAGTATGCTTTTTGCATTAGCTTAATGAAGAAGGGCTCGGCCTTCTCCATTAGGCGCTTTAACTTGTGATGCACGAACTTCGCTCCTTTTTTTCTGCGAAGACACGTCTCGGCATTCGGGATACTCGTTGCTGTCGAAAAATGTCAGTTTATTGCCGAACGCGACGAATTTAACGCCGTTGGTGCGAGGAGTTACAATGTTGAAAATCTAGAATGCATAAATAAATAGCATAGTAATAAAAAAACTATTGCGAATGAAACATGAATGTATTTCTATGAAGCGATATTAAATTCAATATAAATTTGTCACGCGCGTGTTTCGTCAATTTAAATAATGGAAAAAGGTCTTCGACAAAAATATGCAACGACACGCGATGACACTGGCAATATTTCGTGTATGACTGCGAGGCAGCGCTTACACTTGGCAGAACGGCTAACAAGTCTCGCCATACATGGCGGAGAAATCGTTTGGAAAATCGATGAGCTTCCGTCGCTACAGTTCGCGATAATGTCCGCGGAGGTAACCTCTTCGAGAAAGTGGAAGCAGCCGCTGCTGGAATGACAGAGCCTTTTGGCGTTGCAATGGAGTAACGGGGAATACACGAGCATCTCCGAGGATAACGCAACAGGAAGTTTCACCGCGGGATGTCCGTGGTACGAGCAGCAACAGGGCCGAGGTCAACCGTTGACGGGTGATACCTACACGGTTAGAAAGTAGGGAGATGTTTAGCGTTGCGAACGTCCGACTACGCTCGCCGAGAGGCGACTGTTAATTGGAAAATCGACATTGCATTTGATTCTCGAGGATGAGAAAAATACTTGTTCGACTCTAGAGCTTGCTTGGAAGAACGCAGGCGGCTCTTTATACCCACGACTGTATAGGAGAAGTTGTTTTGCTCTCCTGCAGAAGAAAGCAGAAATCATTACAGAGATGTAATTATACTGTCACTATATTGACATGACTCGCTTTTATGACATGGCAAAATCCATCTCGATAAGGCATCAAGCGAAATTACATACATACATTAATTTCAAAAATAGAATTTTGATCAAAAAAATACAGTCAAGTCGTGCGCGATATTTATGGTCATCGATTAACCGTAATTAGAGTAAATTACGTCGTGTTGCAAATTTTTTTATTATTGTAACAAATTTTATTTGGTTCTCTTGTTCTTACGATAATATTTATAATTATATATATGACAACGCATATATTATATATATATATAACAAAAACATTGGAAGTGATATGAAAACCGCTTTAAAATCACACACTTGCATTTTTATACCTGTATATAAATCTGAACGAAGAGTATATACGCGCAAAGATACTTCACGACACTTGAAGAGCGCGTCCAGCCTACCGGCAATATTTGCGGCAATATTTGCACGATGGAAATGTTAAATGTGCTGAAGGAACGATGTAGTTAAATTTCTTCGAGACTTCCTATCTAGCTTGCAAACATTAATTTTAATCAATATAGCAATAAACAGATCCCTGCTCCATAAAACGTAGAAAGAGATACGGAAATTGCTATAAAAACATGCGCTTGCATTTTGAACACCGCACGATCGCGATATCGCCGCTAAATATAAACTAGAGAAACAAATATCCGTCGTCTGATCATTTTCAACAAATTGGAATTTACGGACGATAGGTTGACGCGGATCGACAACAACGTTACTTTTCCAACAGAATATCCGGTGTAACATAACTATCTTGACGCTGATTGCGTCATAAGTTGTCTTGTTAACCGGACGAGCGTACTGTCGGACAAGCCAGACAGGAGGACGCAGATAAGCGTTTATCTGCTTCTTTATTTGCATATATCGGATTTACTGATCTCTCTTCTTGCCGTTTTTTCTTAATTAAAAATCGAAAAAGTTGTCATCACATGGAAATTTTAAAGAGTGTCGATTATGTCAGCTAATGAATCATTTGCTACGAAATGATCGAACGTCCGTGTGCGATCACGTCGACGAGGAGCGATTCTGAGGATGCTCGATTACGATGTAATACTGTCCGTGCGCAGTAACGTCACGTACGTGCATTGTAAGAGTCCGAGTGGCATACGTTTGACCAAATATAACCCGCGTCGCTGCAATTGACGAGGATTTTATCGCGAAGATTGGCACTCAAGCGTGCACCGTTGATTCTCGATAAAAAGTCAACAAGTACTACGTTCAAGATTAACATCGAGGTCTTTGAATGTCTGGCGATGCAAAATTTTAGATTATAATATATTGAGAGTAGTGGGATCGTGGACCATGCTTACGTCTTATGTACACTTTGTTAAAGTGTAGTCAAGACCGGAATTTTGTATGATAAATGCGTATTGTATTGCGAAAGATAAATGGACAATTATTTGAGTTTAGTTTACACTTCCGCGTTCTTTTGTAGAATGTATTTTGTTGTGTTTGTCTGACTAACATCTATTCTAGGCGGAATCCATATAATTTTCAGCGCGTCTGCTTTAGCTTTGCTCGCTAACGGAACTCTGTGTTTTGCGAAATTCATAAATATCTCGTCGATTCCCGCGACTGGGTGTAGTTTTCTTTTCTCTATTTTTTTTAATCATAACGATTGCAGTAAGATGAGAATTTCGAGGAATGTTATTAATGGCTAGCGCTAGAACTAGTTTATGTGTCGGCATATTAACCTCGAAATTGTAAATGATTATTACGCTCTAAGAATGGCCACGAAATTACAGTAATTATCTTGACGTGCTTAGCTAAAACGAAGTTCCTCCGCTTTAGTCGGTAATTGCGCTAGTATTGCTAGGTTTCTGCTGACACGATGCTTTATCGGTTGCTTCAGGCTTCTCAAACCTTTCCATCTTCCTTAATCTATCCACTAATCACCAATTTACCTTTGACAAATCGGACTACATTAATCTGGGTCTGTTTAAAATATATTTGGTGCAATTACTTTGTATCTTTATGTCGTTAACAACTTTAGTACGCGTGTGTAAAATCCCTTTTGGAATATTTCGTTTCACCAAAAATATATTTATCTGTATATGTTCGGAGTTTCTAGTTTGTTAATCACTTCAAGAAATCTTTAAAAGAGATGTGTGAATTATTCATTTTGCTTTCATTATTTCATAGTTTTATAAGACATTTTAATCGATCAAATTTTCAGCGATATTTTGAAATCGTCATAGTTTCGATTATATCTTATTTGTGTCTAGATTCGCGTTTTTTATGTTAATGAAAATGTGTATAATTACGTATTGCAACTATTGAAATTGACTAGTCTTTACAACAGATACACAAATAACAAGTTTACAAGATTATTATGAACAGTGAAACTTTTAGATTAAGCATTATTTCGCAAATCTATGTTATTCGAATCAATATCAATTTATTTTAATAAAATTGGACGCGAGATTACATGTGCTTTTTGAAATTATGTATATTAACTGATCGCCAAGGCTAGATATTATTAGATACGATTCGGCAAGGCAATTAAGTAAACTCGTACACAATAAATATTCAAAATTGCAGTGCATTAGTCGAGTACAAGGTATACGTAATACCTCGTTTTCCCCAGCTAAGCGATTTTACGATCAATAATCGATCGGCCAGGAAAGTCCCTGCTTTCTGTAATACAACGCGAGGTCGATATTTCTCCAGCTTCAAAGGCTAAACGCATCACAATCGTGAAAACTATTGCCTACCGCGCTCGCTCAGTAGTATCAAAACCTTTCCAGCTTACAATACCATTCTATGCAATTTCTAACTTTCATTAAAAATAGTTACAAAAAATATACACACAAATGATTGATCCAATAAATTGATTTCAAATTTGCATAAAATCTCTAATAGTTTGCAGAGTTTATGCTACAATATATGTAATTTTATTTTTTCTTAAAAAAATCAAGCCAGAATTCTTCCTTGCAATATTTTTGCTTTAATTTAATATTATAGATAATAAAGGAACTATATATGTGTTCAAATGAATAGAATCAATAGCATCAATAGAAATATCGTAACTATGCTTTTTAAGGCATTTTATTAATATTTCGCATAAAAATGACACAACTTTAGTCTCATTAAATTGATTAAAAAAATAAAAAAAAAATTATTCCAGAACTTTCTTGAAAAGTTATAGTTTTGCAATTATAATAATAGTAATAATTTTTATCGACATTATCGATGTATGCAACGCACTTACCAAATTGTCGGCGGCGACCTCGGCGTACCCGAGAACGAGCAGGACAACAAGGACTCGAAGGATCGTGGCTGCGATGTCGTTAGCGATCATGCCCGGAAGTGGATCGGCGGATCGCAGCCAGCGGGACAGCCAGCGGGGCAGACAGTTCGACGGCGACGGGGACGCGCTCGCCTGCGAGGCAGGCCGGTGGTGTTCCCGTCGCGGACGCATCGCATCATGATCGCGACGTGCTGTCGCTCACTCCTTGAGGACGCGTACTCGACGTGGCTCAGCTCGACGGCTGTCTCACGTACACACCTACGTACCTTTGAGAAGGAGGACGGGAGAATTGCGTGCGTGAACGCGTGTGCCGCGCGCTCGAGCCCTACGCACTGCCACACGCGGATCTATAAATACGGCCGCAACTCCACGTGAAGAATTTCAAACAACCGCGCCGTAAAATAGCGTTGGAGTCCCAGGGAAACTCGGAGGCTCCGATCCTCCGCCGTCGATTCCGCCGCGTGATACGATGAGCTCTTGGCCTTGACACTGCGTCTCAAGCCCGGACGCATCAATCTGGCGCGCTGAAAACCGACATGGATAGAACTGCATTTTTTTAAACGAATTAATTGCGTAATAACATGATAGCGGAAACAATTATGTGAGTTATTTGACTAATGGAATTATGCTGTACAGAAGAGATATCATCGTAGTTATCTGGTGAATGCGATTAGTTTGAAATGTGTTATTAATTCCTTTAGACGTCGAAAATGCGACTAATTCTGCTAACATTTAAAAATGTTATTGATTCTATTGAGATTTGAAAATATTACATTTGTAAAAATAGAAAGCTGGCGACATGAATTTAGTCATACGCGGATTTTAGTGACGATCCCAGCTTTGCTCGCTACGACGATCCCAGCAATGAGATCCCGCGCGCGCGTATAATTTTTTTCTAAAATTTTTTCTACAAGATTCCCATTATAGCGCAGCACGATTTACATTTCTGGCCGAGGTTTCAGTCGGCCAGATAAAAAGCAAACAAACTTAAAAAGTACACATTTCATACATTTTAGCTAGTTTATTCTCGACAAAACTGCTTGACGACTTGCCCGCGTGCAAATCGTTACAAGATCAAAAGATCGCACTTGACGTCTCTTCTGGAGAACACGAGCTACTATACACTTTGGTTCCTTAAATAACACACGCCGACGAGCGAAATCTTACCCCGGTGTTCACCGCGCCCGAAAGAATAAATAGCTCCAAGTTTCGGCGTGAGGAAGCTCGTCAATACAGCAAGGTCGTCCCAGACGCTCGAGCAGACATCGCTGAGACGCCGATAGTATCTGTCGTGGTATTTTATTTCTCGCAGCGATACGCGTTATCTTCGATGTGGTTTACAGCAGCAACAGACGACGATGACGAGCGGCATTAATAATAGTGCACGAAGCACGACGACGGAGCATTCGGTCATCGCGGATTACGCGCGAAGTCGCGACGCGGCCGCGTTTCGAGTGAATGTCCGGTCTGTCAGCGAGCTCTTTGCGATAACGAAGATCATGCCCGATAATCGTTAACCGCGAATCGTCATCCGCGAAATTAAAGCTCTGTTTCATGAAGATATCACTTCTCTCCTCCAGTCGGTAAAATTGTCCAGTGTCGAAGCGCGACGGGGCCGCGGGCGCACCGCCGACCAACCGCGGAACCGACTGATATTTTTAGTTCACCCGACTTCTCCGACCGACGTCTATCTTCACCTTTGAGAGTTACCTAGTCGCTCGCGGCGATATCTTTGTTCTTCCTCGAAGCATGCTCTTGTACGCCGGCAGATCATACCGGTGAGCTTGATCGATGAACCCGTGATGAAATATCTCGGTTCTTCCTCGACATCCGATGTGTTTGTGTTCTCCGTAAGCCACTGTGGCTTGTGTTGATATTTTTCGTTTTATACAAATTAATATTTTAAGCTACTTACACGTTGATTTCGTCATATTTATCTTATTTGATAAATTGAAATGATACTTAATATTTTACAGTTACATTGCGTAGACTTGTTACAGTGAATCAATAGATTCTTTATTTTTTTCGAATTCTTCACTTATTAACGTTGCATGTCTAATTATCTATTATTTTTATCGCCGTATTTTTTAATTCACTGAAGCAACTCGTTTTTCTTTAGAGCAAGACTCCTCGTTGATCGAATCATTTTTATAATTCAAAATAAATATATCGAAAAATGGAATAGTTTTGCTATACCGTAAATTTATGCGAAGATGTTCATCGGTCATCCGAAGCGCGATAAGTCGACTCGATCGCGCGATTCGTGAAACGATGCTGTCCGATCTGTCGCTTATACGAGAGCTACTCCAGCGAGCGCACGCACGTGGCTCCAGGCCGACTGACGAGATACACATGCGGGAGAGGAAGTATCAACGGAGACTGCTGAGAGGAGTGGCAGGCGAGCCAGACGGAAGTGGAGGGTGATTCTGTGGCGGGAATAGCTAAGTGACGAGGGTGCCGGGGATAACATCTGGCCTTTACCTTACGATTGAAGACGCGGTCAATCACGCGTGTATTTTGCACACTAATTACAAGATGGATTTGTATCGATGCGATATTTATTTATCGTCGCGAAACGATAGCGAAACGATAGCGCGCGTATTCGCGCTGCCAGCTCGATCGCAGACCGGCCAGACTGGTCTCGTTGCGATAACATCAGCCCTTTCCGACATTAATTTTGAAATAGATTAGCCTTAATAACGCAGTATTAAAATACTCTTACGCTCGTATCTCGATCGTTACATTCTTGCGCTCGAATCACGCCGATAGAAATACTATTTCGTGATTTTTTGTTTTATTAAAATGTTAAAGTATATACGACGTATATTTATCGTACCGTGGAATTTTATTTGTGAAAAAGTTTACATGGAAAAGTTGTGAGATGTTTCAGCCTTTGACATAAAACGTTCGTCTCCGAGTAATATGATCTTTAACACTTGTGAGTATTTAGGTCACCCAGACGTGCATCTAGCGCAAAATGACAATGAAAGATGCGTGAGAAATCTCGAAGTATAATCGTCACAATGTCGATGTTAAAAATAACTGCACTCGATTCTATGTTGCAATCCAACATTAACTATACTGTTAATCGAGCAAAGCTCTTTAATAAAATTTTAATATGGAGACTCGACGGCACATTAAACATTATGCTGCGTGTTTTTAACTTTCGAGCACACATATGTCTCAAAAATATAATTTCAAAAATACGCAAGCATTAATTTTATACAAATAATGCTTAAGAAATATTTTAAATAAATTTTTTATTTATTTATAATGTTTATTTCTTAAGCATACAATTATAATGTTAATTGAGAATTATTTCAATTATAGATTTTATCGACAAAATAAAATATTAAATGAAAAGGCATAGGTCTTTAACGCGACGGCATCAGTATTGATTTACAATTACTTAAATTAATTTAGAATTTGAAAATCATGCCATTATAACTTCCAAACTTATTCATTCAGCTTTGAAAAGAGGGAAGCAGAAACCAGAGATCGACTAAGGATCAGGGTCGCTCGAAGGTTTCGGTTAATGACACACGTCGCAGTTGCCAACCAGAGTATCCCTGTGGTCTGGCCACGCCCCGCTCTCGCAAGAAGATTACACGAAATTGGCCGTTTTTGAAGGAAAAATAAGCAAGAAGCATGCTCGTTCTTCAGGCCCGGTGATTTCGTTCCTGAAACGAGGGCCGCTTTTCGACCTAAGACGTTGACTCACGTGAGCTGTGCGTTTACGGTCGCGAGAGCAGATCGGAATCGTTTTACACGTCTGGGAAAACTTGTTACATTGATTAAAATTGCCGCGTCAATCACACGCAGTATATGACAATTACATGTCAACGACGAGACGCGCGTGCAATAACGAAGATTAATTGAGTACCGCAATACTCGGGAAGCGAATAAAGTGCGCGTGTCATTATCATCACAGATATTACGATAAACATAAACTTCGCGATAATGTCTATTCAGTTGATAGATAGTCATGAAAGAACTAATTTTTCAATTGCACATATATATATATATATACAATATTATAGTATTAAATAAATCTATCTCTTATTTATTAAAATTAAAGCAAACTTTTTGCCGATAGTCTAATTCGCAATTGTACGATTTAATTCTGATTTAAATTTGTTAAATTATTCTTCAGCACACTAACATAGATTCAAGTTAATGTGCAAATATTTCCAAATTAACTCAACGATAAAAACAAAAGTAGAAATTGAGTATCCCATTATAAGAACGTAGATTATCAAATCGAATATGCTGATATACATAGAATCCGCTTTGTGTCCATTTTGAGGAAAAATTGGCTCCCGCGTCTCGTTTTGTAGGTAGTCGCGATACCACTTATTGTATAAACCCCCTTCGACGAGCATCAGGATTATATTGCTGATACGCTTGACGTAAGGCGATTCTTCTGGAAACATATATGCAAGTGGCGATGATAGATAACAAAGTTTAGTCGTCATTATCGTAATCTTACCATTCTGCATGTTCTTAACTTTGACAAGTTTAGCCAAACTGTCAGGTAGAAGGCAGGAAACGTTCCGGTACATCAATAAATCTTGAAGACAGATGTCCGGGTGAGTAACGTTTAATATTTTTTCGCTATATTTACGAAACTGCTGCTCGAAGTCGCTGTTGTAGCGGATGATGAGAAACGTAGTAGAATGCATCATTAAAACCAAATCGGAATTTATAACATCTTCAAAACTGTTGAATTGAACATAACGATTGCTCTCTAAATTAGTGCTTGTCAACTCTATGAAAAGAATCGAAGAGTAGCACGCATAGACAATAAGAACGCTGAGATAGATGAGTCGCTCACGAAATGTTGTGGGAGCTGGCGGTAAAGACGTGGCCAATATCATACCGATGATTTTTAGAGGATGCCATCTGTTTGGGTGGAGTTTCATTAATCGTGAACACAACCAGAAGATTCCTACGATCGAGAAACTTATAAAAAATAATTTGATCACAGAGTTGCTGTTGATATCTTTTTTGACCAATTTGGGTGCTACGACGCACCAATTCTCGATTAATAAAGGGGAGACATATTGATGATGTAGACCGAAACTATGCTCCTTTCCTATTATTGCAAGCGTAGTCAGAAAAGCGTCGTATTTTCCAGCAGCTACGTCAGATACAATACCGTATACAGTGCCATTAGGCATCTGATCAAGAATTGGCATATCTTTTGGCAATATTTTAAAAACCTCGGTGAAATTCATTTTATCTGCCAAGGTCTCACTCAGGATTTTGTCCACGCCTTTAATCTCTTCTCCAGTCAATGTCAATTTAAGATTACTATATGGAGGCCGGTGTATAAATGCATAACCGAGTGGGTAACCCTGCATATTTGGAAAATTATCTGTGAACCATGTAATGTGCGCAGAATAAGATTCTGTTGTATGGCTGTCGTTGAATGGATTGTATCGATGGATGATCGTTGAATACTCGGCGGAGTATTTCGATCTCGAGTACTCCACGACAATTGTGTCAAGAATTTTTTTCGACCACATTGCTTGGAAGAGCGTTGTGAGATTTCGAGACGATTGACGAAGTATCATGAGTATCAGTATTTTGGGTCGGACGCAGTTGTGCACAAAACGTCTTGTATCTTCAGCTATAACCTTGCTTTTGATGAAATTCGGCTCCTGTTTCGAGGCGTAGATATACACGACTAAATTACATGAGGAAGGAGTCTGTAACTTTTGTTCTCTACGGTCCGCGTGTACGTAAAGAGTTGATACACGTTTGATTATCGCCACAGATATTTTGTCCAGAATATTATGCGTTTGCTTCTCTAACAACGAGTCTCGAAGTATAAGCAAAGCATCTTTGGCGCGCGATGTTTGTAATATTTCACTTAAGATATCTACAAAATTGTCTTTGCTTGAATGATTGTCCACCAAAGGAAAGTGTTTGTAACTTTCAATGAAGCAAAAAAGCACGATAGCGCTGAACAAATGCCGCCACATGAATTTCATTTTGGTGATGTTGGAATGAAACGACAGTGGTCATTGAATGCAATCGGAATGACAACTGCGATGCGTAACACGATGGCTAGTTTTAATAACTTTAACTGCTGCTTTAATATGTGTGAAAGCACAAATATAGCTTGCTAACATATTTATGAAGAGTTGCTTTTTGCAAGAAAATATATTACTGGCTTGACTTCTTTAACATACTTCTGAAGATCATTAATCTTTGTCACTTACGGATATTAATTTTTTTTATCAAAAATGAAAATATAAAGTTCCTTGCTAATTGAATTGAATTTTGTACTTTTGTTTCAGTTCGTACTTTAATTTATCTCTCAATTATTTTATGTTGATTCAAGGATATCTTCTAGAAAAGAAAACTTCTTAGAAAAGAACTTTCTTAGAAAACTTCTTAGAAAACTTCTTAGAAAAGAAGTGTGTAATGCTCGGTACGTGAATGTCTGTACATGTCTGCCATTATAGTCCACAATGTCACGATAATTATAATTTTTACGGCAATTTCTGTTTAATCTATACTGTTATTTTAAATAAATCAATTTTCTGATTAAATACTTATTAATATTAATTTATGATGATTTTTAATTTTTTTCAAATACGTGCAAAATTCTTGACAACAGATTTAATAATTCCAATTATATTATTTATTATTGTTCATACTTTTCAATATTGTTCTTTAGCTATAAATTAATTGACATAGATTCAAATTAATGTCGACATATTTCGAAATTAACTCGCCAATAAAAACAAAAACAGAAATTGAGTATCCCGTTATCAGAATGTAGATTAGAGAATTGAATATGTTGACATACATAGAATCCATTTGATGTCTATTTGACTGAAAAGTTGACTCCCGTGTCTCGTTTCGTAGGAAGTCGCGATACCACTTATCACGAAAACCCCCTTCGACGAGCATCAGGATTATATTGCTGATGCGCTTGACGTAAGGCGATTCTTTTGGAAACATATATGAAAGTGAAGATGATATATAACAAAGTTCAGTCATCATTATCGTAGTCTCACCATTTTTGCATGTTGCTAACAGCGACAAGTTTAGCCAAACTGTCGGTTAAAAGACAGGAAACGTTCTGGTAAATTAATAAATTTTGAAGGCAGATATCCAGCTGAGTAACGTTTAATATTTTTTTGCTGGATATACGAAACTGTTGTTCGAAGTCGATGTCGTCTCGTCGAATGACTTTCAACGTTTCAAGATGCACCATTAACGTCAAATCAGCATCTATTACGTCCTGAAGATTGTTAAATTCAACATAACGATTGCCCTTTACATTAGTGCTTGTCAACTCAATGAAAAGAACCGAAGAGTAGCACGCGTAGACAGTTAGTACG